GAGACTTACCTGAGCCCATGGGTTCAAGACCAGCCTAGGCAACTTGGTGATACCTCGTCTCTACAATAAATAAAAAAATTAGCTGGGCCTGGTGGCGCACGCCTGTAGTTCCAGCTTACTTGGAAAGCTGAGGTGGAAGGGATCACCTGAGCCCAGCAGGTCGAGGTTGCGGTGGCCATGATCATGCCACTGCACTCCAGCCTGAGTGACAGAGTGAGACTCAAACTAAAAAAAAAATATATATATATACACACACACACACATATGCATATAATAAACAGTACGTTGTGATAAGTGCTTTGAGGAATAAAACAGGATAATGGGGCAGAGATAGATGGAGCTATTTGAGAAACTCCTGAGCAAAGCCTTGCATATCTGGGACTCCCCAGGCTCTGTAGACTCCACGAAACGCTACAGACCAGACAGTGGGTAGGCCAGCAGGTGAGCCAATGGCACTTCACCTGCATAGAGGTTTCAAGACCTTAGGACCAAAGCAAGAGCAAACACCCCAATAGACAGAGCATCTCTCAGGAGCACCCATCCCCTGGGGACACACTGAGGAGCCCATGACCTTCAAAGGGAGCCTGTTACAGTCAGATTCAAATTCCACTCGTAATTATTGAGTGCCTGTTCTGTCAAATGCACCATGCTGTGCACTTTCATGCTGTTATTTACCCAGTAGCCTGACTAGTCAGCCGTGGAAACTTCATTGATTAGAGCTATTCTTGGGGTGGTCCTATGCCCCACTTTGCCAAAACAGCTCTGGGTTACAACTGTTGTCCCAGAGAAATTATTTATAGCATTCCCTTTCACTCTCAAAAGAGTCTTGTTTGGATAGTAGGTTACATGATCACCCAAGGGACCCTTATCTATAGCAGAATGAAAAACCCAACGTCTTGGAGTGGTATAATTAACTTTTCGTTCCACAAATGTTTATTGAGTGTTTTCTACATGCTTGGTTCTCTGTTTGGCACTGGGGATGCAAGTGTGTATAAATAAGACATGATCCTTGCCCTGGAAAATCACATTGTCACTGTGCAAAACACATAGACAAACACAAGAGAATACACAATGATAGAAATGGATTTATATCATGGGTGACGTCAGCATCAGAGATGTGGTCCCGGTGCGAATCCGGGAACTGGAAGTGAAGCTGTATTCCTCTGCAACATCATATTTGTCCAGAACCAAACAGGATCTTAAAAACCTAACCTGGATTCCGACCACACTTTGTTTAAGTTGGGGTCTCACTCTGCCACCTAAGCTGGAGTGCAGTGGCACGATAAAGGCTCACCGCACTCTCAACTTTCCAGACTCAGGTGATCCTTCTCCTTCCCAGTAGCCGGGACTACAGGCATGCACCACCACACCCAGCTAATATTTTTTATTTTTGTAGAGACAAGGTCTAACTATGTTGTCCAGGCTGCTCTTGAACTCCTGGGCTCAAGCGATCCTCCAGCCTTGGTCTTCCAAAGTGCTAGGATTACATGCGTGAGCCACCACGTCAAAACCCTTACCACACTTTTATAATTCTTCCAGCCACTCTCCAGTGTCCCTGACTTCCAAATGCTGGAATATCCTGGAGGGGGGAAGGAAATCCCTTCGACTATTTCCTGACTTTTTCCTTCAATGCACAGACTCAATCCTAGGGGATCTCTCACAATTCCCAGTATGCCCTCAACTTCAGTCACGAATATCCAAATTGCAATCAACATCACGTGGATGCCTGATAAATTCTCATTCGTATCCTTTCTACTCCCCTCACTCACAAATCATAAACACCCTGTCATCTACTCCTCTTAAATGCTTCTCCACTTAGGCAAATGGCAGCTCCATTATTCCAGCTGCTCACACCAAAATTTTTTATTTATTTATTTATTTATTATTATTATTTTTAATTTCGAGTCAGAGTCTCACTGTCACCCAGGCTGGAGTGCAGTGGCACACTGCTCACAGCCACCGCAGCCTCGACCTGCTGGGTTTAGTTGATCCTTTCGCCTCAGCCTTCCAAGTAGCTGGAACTACAGACACGTACCACCATGCCCAGCTAATGCTTTGTAATTTATTGTAGAGATGAGGTCTCACCAAATTGCCCAGGCAGGTCAAGAACCCCCGGGCTCAGGCAATCCTCTTGCCTCGGCCTCTCAAAGTGCTGGGATTACAGGCTTGAGCTACCATGCCTGGCCAACACCAAAACTTTGAAAGTTATCTCTGACTCTCTGACTCTCTTACATTCCACAATGAATCCCTTCACAAATGCTTCTGGCTATACCTTCATTAAACATCTAGAATCTGTCTTCTTATCACCACCTGCCCATCACCATCTGGTCCAAGCTAGCTGTGGTTCTCGCTTGGTTCACTGTGAAGCCTCCTAAAGCCCTCCTTGCCCTTCTCCCTTCCTCACGTGGGTTGTGCTCAAGCACCTAGTATTGGCTCACACCTAAAATCCCAGCATTTTGGAAGGTCAAGGTGAGAGGATTGCCTGAGTCCATAGGTTCGAGACCAGCTTGGGCAACTTGGCGAGATCTCATCTCTACAATAAATCAAGAAAAATTAGCCAGATGGGGTGGCGCATGCCTGTAGTTCCAGCTACTGGGAAAGCTGAGGCGGCAGGATCGCCTGAGCCCAGCAGATTGAGGCTGCAGTGGCCCTGAGCGTGCCACTACGCTCCAACAGAGTGAGACTCCTATTCAAATAAATAAATAAATAAAGCACCTAGTATTACCCTTTGAAAAGACAACTACAGTCCAGGCGTAATGACTCACACCTATCATCCTAGCACTTTGGGAGGCTGAGTTGGAGGATTGCTTAAGGCCAGGAGTTCGAAATCAGCCTGGACAACATAGTGAGACTCCCGTTTCTGAGAAATATTTTTTCTTCAATAAAACGTAAAAAAAAAAAAAAAAAGAGTTTCCACCTGCCAGTGGCTTCCTATCTCCCTCAAAATAAAAGCCCAAGTCTTTATCACGGTTTCACAGGCCCTAGGTGATCTGGCCTGGGGTTAACTCTCAGCCTCTTTTCCTTCCATCCTTCCTCCCATGTTCTTGCTGCTCTTTGGACATACTAGATCCTGGCTGTTCCGTCCCTCGTCGTTGGTCAAACATCACCTCAGTGAAGTTCCCCTTGATAATCCTATTTACAGTTTCACTCCCCACTCCCTATTGATTCTCTTTCCCTGCTTCTCCCCGCCCCATAACCTTATTAGGGTTGCCACATAAAATACAGGATGCCCAGTTAAATTTGAATAGCGAATAAACAATGGATAACTTTTCAGCATAAGTATATGCCAAATATTGCAGGAAATATACTTATGCTCCAAAAAATTACTCACTGCTTACCCCAAATTTAAATGGGCATTCTGTGTTTTTTTTTTGGTAAATCTGGCAGCCCTGCCATCTAACACGCTACATATTATTTTACATATTTGTTCATTGCTTCTTCCACTCCACCCGTCATCACCTCCAAACTTGGCCCTAGGAGTATAAGTTCAATGAAGGCAAGTATTTTTAGTTTGGTTTGTTCACTTCTGGCTCTCCAGCAGCGAAAACAGTGACGACTACATAACAAATGTCCAATATTCACAAAAGGAATGAATGAATGAACTAAACGAGCACACGGTCTCAGCCTGACCATCCTAGCCTCTGAAGCACCTTTGAAATGCTGCGCCTGTTTGAAAATTATTTCTTAAATTACTTTTTAAAAAAAACTTTATTTCTTAAATCCACGGCCCCTCCAGAATCGGGGACATTTCTTTCAGGACAGGCCTGGAGGTTGAATTCCTGCTATACGATTCTGAACTAACAAATAAGGGGTGGAGGATAGGGGGCTTATCTCCCCCCGGACCCCACTGACCCCATGCCCTCAAAAACAGCCCTCCGCTTTGGGAGTACACACACAGAAACCCAGACGGATGACTAAGACTCTGGGATCCCCTAGCGTGTACTAAACTCCAAGTTTTCTGCATTTCACTGGGGGCTTTCAACCTCTTGTCATTGTATTTCTTCTGTCTGGGGCTTAGCTTTGCATTTTCAGTGTGGATGAGTCATGTGTTACTTCCCTTTCGCATTTTTACAAAACACACACCTTTTCCCCTGTGCATAATCCCCACTCCCACGCACAGCCCTGCACTCCCGCACGTCTTTTGGTAACTAACTGGCCCCTGGATGAACCTGGGGAGGGTGGGGCGGGGGCGGCTGAGGACTGCGAGGTTTATGAACACGCTTCCTATACGGTCCCGCAGGCTGGGCTCGGGGCATCCCAGACGCCAGGCTCTGGAGAGCTGTGAAGCTCTCTTGCCACCCAACCCCACCGCGAGCTTTCTCTGAAACAACACAAGCTTCTGGAAATCCCCTACGGAAAAGACAAGCCTATTATAAACACAATTAAAGGGAAACCGCCTGGAGGAAATTGACCGAAATTGTCTTACAACTCCCAACTTCTGAATTAAAACATAAAAGAAGATCCAGAGCCCTCTCTCATCCAGATGCACAAGTACTCCCCTGCTGTTCGGATCTGGAAAATAAAACACCCCCAAACTCTGTGCTTCAGCTCTAAAATGCTGAAAACTCTGCAGCCAGCGTGCGTTTGCCTCATGGAATCCCCCAACCAATGAATGGGAGCTTTGCCGTCCTAGAGAAGTTTCACAAAAACAGCGCCTTTCTCCCCGGGGCTGGCGCTCGGGCCGGGAGGGGGGTCGGATTAAAAGCTGCTTGGTGATTTATTTGTCATTGGCTAGAGATACAGGAACACGCTGACTGTTCCCGGTGCTACAAATGTGCCATCACCCACCACCTCTTTTGGCTGCCTAAGGAAAATCGTGCCAGAGATGATAAAGTCAAGCCCAAGAAATCACAGCTCCCTGCTCAGTTTGGGAAACGCACCACCCTAAGAAATCGATTCCCCCCCCCCCCCGCCGGGCGCAGGGGCCGCAGTTTATAAAAAGCTGCAAGCGGCGAGGGACACGCGTCCCCGTCCCATCTTTGAATGAGCCTGTTACTTACCCTGCATCTGTCTGCTGTCTGCCGAGTGAGGAGGGCACGGCTCACATTTCTGGCTTTCATTTTCTTCCATTGTCTCCGCCTGCGGCACAAGCTCCTCGCTCTCTGGCAACTTCAGAGCTCGGTTCTAAAAGCTCCCAGAAAGCGCCTGGGAGGGGGCCCTGGGCCGGGGAGGAGGGGACCGGGCGAAACCCCACCCCAAACTATTTTCCACTCGGTTGCAAAGTCTCCCTCGCCCGAGAAAACTGCATTCCAGCGCCGGGCCTCCCGGGCCTCCCCACCCCCTGCCCCCCCCGCCCGTCCCCCCGTCTGTCCGTCGGTGCGTCCTCCCGCGCGGATCCGGGAGACTGGGGGCTGTGCTCCGTCTCCAGGGAGGCCCCAACAGGTGACGGCCTTCGCTACCGGCGACTCAGCCTGCCCGGCTCCCGCTGCAAACCACCGAGGCTCTGCAGCCGAGGAAGGAAAACATTTCACACACGATCACGGCCGGGAACCTAGTCTCTTTAATCCCAGACCCGGAGTGAGCCTCCCAAAGCGGCTGGTAGACGTTTTAAGAAACACGGACCTGTTGCACCTCCCAAATTCAGTGAAATCTCTTAACAAAAAAAAACAAAAAAAAACCCCAAACAATTTGAAAGAAAGAGTGTATGCTGAATGTCGTTAAGTAAACACTTTCTGGCACTGACTTTTTGGGGCCTGATTAACATCTCTAAAGAATAGTCATTTCCACACAGTCGATTTTAATCACTTAACCTGGAGTTTAAAAAGTTTTTACCTTATTTGCTTCACTTTCCCTAACTCCTCCCTTCTTCCATCTCTCTCTCTCTCTCTCTCTCTCTCTCTCTCTCACACACACACACACACACACACACACACACACACACACACGCCCCTTGATCACAAATCTGAAAAGTAAACTGGTAAGTCAACCTTGTGAATCTTTCTCGAGTTAATGCCCGAAAGAAAATTAAAATGCATTTCTTTGGATGGACAGAGTTGCAGCCAACATACTTATTCTCCTTTTAAACTACCTACAAATATTTATTTTGCTCTTTACCCAGTACTTGAAAAACTGGCAAATTTCCCAGAAATTGAAAATAGGAGGCACGATGTCCACAAATAAAGGATGGGAAAGTAATCTAAGCAATATTAGCCCTGCCATGTCAGATATCTAAAGTAACATAATAACCAGAAGGAAGAGTGCGATATTGTGATCTGAAGTGGCCCCATCATTTCAGAGGGAAAGAAAGGACAATGGCTAGCCTGGTGACCATACCTTGACCCAGTTTACAGGCCATTCAGGGAAGGTTTCAGATTGATTTAGATCAAGAATGTGTGCAGAACAATGACTGGCCTGGCCTCCACATTATGACCTTGAGTGACCTGTGTGTTTTGGCAGTGTAGGGGACATATTTTGGTCACTTGGGACATAAAGATGCGGAAGCCTCTAAAGGACAAAGGATTTGGACTAGGAGAAAAGTAGCTGTACCAGGGAGTGAGTTTTACTCAAGTTAGGAGGGGAGCAACAGAGTCTCTCAACTCCCAATAGGATGTTCCATGCCTTGGCAGCGTGAACAGGCAGTTGGGCTTACAGGGGCAATAACTTAAGGTCTCCATGACTCTGCAATAGATTTACCTGCTTTAAGAAGGAACACTCATCTCTCAAAAAAAGAGGAGGGTAGGGGGCAGATGTGGTGGCTCACACCTATAATCCCAGCACTTTGGCAGGCCAAGGCAGATCCCTTGAGTCCGGGAATTCAAGACCAGCCTGGACAATACAGCAAGACCTCATCGCCACACAAATAAATAAATAAATAAATAAAAATAACCTAACTTTTTACACAGTTTCTGAACTGGTAGCCTATGGGGAAATACCAGCTGAATCTTATTTTAACCTTACTATTAGGTACAGAATGTTCATGAAGGAAGGATCTCCTGTGTTCAGTCCCTCAGGTCAAGATTATCCTGATTCTTGTATAGCTGTTGTGTATTTGTCCTTTAATTATTAATGCCAGAAGCAGTTGGGGGGGAGCAGGGAGAGAAGTATTGCAGTGTCAGAGCGGCAGCCTAACCAGATGTCCCTGGGCCTCGGGTTCTAAAGCCAACCCACTTGCTTTGGTGTGTGCCAAGAACCCACTCTTAGCAGCGCCTACCTGTCACTTGACATAGTACAGAAGCAAAGCCCCCAGGATGAAGACAACAGCAAGCCTGCAATGGCAGCAACCACAAACAGCACCCTGCCCAGGGGCCCTCCAGGCTAGTGCAATCCAGGCAGAAAAGCTCCATTTGTAGATGTAGATTATGCTTTCCTGGGGGTTGTTTGCAAAATGTCAGAGCGGTTCCTCAGGCCTCTGTTGATCCCCAGACAGGCAAAAGGGGGAAGCTCTCTCATGGGGTCTGAACTCCCAGTTCCCAGACAGCCCAAGGGAACTCCTCGGCCGACCTTGCGTCCAAAGTGCTGGGACCCTCCCCTCCCCCACAGGCAAAGCAGACAGCCGTTTCAGCTGATCATTCCAGGAAGCAAAACGTTTTGTGATGTGCACAAAAGAAAAAAAGGCATTAGGAGGAAGATAATGAACACAAATAGTTAAGGACCCTGAAATCTAGACATGTATTTACAGTAAAACGTGTTCTCTTGAATAGTCAAACTTTCTGACCATTCTATAGGGAAAAGTTTCTGTTGGCCTCTCCCTTTGTTCCTCTTCCATAAGAACAGGGACTGAAAGCAATTTAAGGCACTGTATTAATGCCATTGTACTGACCATTCCATCCTCCCATCCTCCCTCTTCAATTGTTTGTAAGAAACCTTAGTAACAAAACTGGGCTCGGTGGCTCAGCCTGTAATCCCACGCTTTGGGAGGCTGAGGTGAGTGGATTGCCTGAGCCCGCAGGTTCGAGACCCGCCTGGGCATCTTGGCGAGACCTCATCTCTACAATAAATCAAAAATTAGCCAGGCGTGGTAGCGTGTGCCTGTAGTTCCAGCTACTTGGAAGGCTGAGGCGGAAGGATCGCCGGAACCCAGCAAGTCAAGGCTGCGGTGGCCGGGAGCGGCCACTGCACTCCAGTCTGGGCGACAGAGTTGACACTCCAACTCAAAAAAAAAAAAAAGAAAGAAACATTAGTAACAATTTAGCGCTGATTGTCAATTTCTCTAGCAATCTACATGAACTTGATAACTCAGATCTTCATGAAAAATACTGATATTGTCATCGCTGTGGAGATGTTCTTCTTTCTGAAAGAAATACTATTTGAACTGGAAGTAGGTGTAGTTCTATTTTGGTTTAATTTAATTTCTGAGTTTCAAATTTGCTATTATAATCCAATCTGCCTACTGCTGTACTTTGAAATTTGCTGTGAAAGGCATAAAGAAAGCGGGAAGAACTTGAAATTTGATTTTCCCCCAGTCATATAGAGAACTACAATTATGATACCAGGAGGCTAAATTTTCAACTCCATTTCTGTTATCCAGGAAAGGTGCAAGACTATTTCTTGGTTAATGGTTCCGTATGTTGCAATACATGACTCCAAATGAGCTAACACATAAAACAAGTGTTGTTTAAAAGTAAAGACAAGCGATGAGATAAAAGAGCGCTGTACAGGCAAATTTGCAGCCATAGTTAACCTATGGCAGAACTGGACCATTATTATTTTGATAACACAATGTAAGTGGTGTCCACCGTGATGAGCATCACAAGAATCATAAATAATTGGACATAAACAAGTGTATTTATGTAATTACAGGGCTGCAGAAAATATGCTAACTCCCTTTATGTAAGTTTTTCAAGAGAGAAAAAAATCATTGCTAGAACCAAGCATAGGTGGAATTGTCCTGATATATGTTTAATTTTTTACCCTTGAAGTTATATAGGCCAGGTGTGGTGGCTCATGTCTATAATCCCAGCATTTAGGGAAGTGGAGGCGAGAGGATTGTCTGAGCTCAGGGGTTTGAAACCAACCTGAGCAACATGTCAAGACCTTGTCTCTACAATAAATCAAAACATTAGCCAGGCATGGTGGCACCTGCCTGTTAGTCCAGTTACTTGGAAGGCTGAAGTGGAAGGATCACCTGAGCACAGCAGCTTGAGGTTTCAGTGGCCATGAACGTGCCACTGCACTCCAGCCTGGGTGACACAGTGAGTCTCCGACTCAAAAAAAAAAAAAAAAAAAAGAAGAAGAAGAAAATATTTTAAAATGACATCAGGACACATTTCTTAAACTGAGCTTTTCAAAATGTATCAAATGTAATTTTGATAACTGGGAGAGTCAAGCACATCAAAATAAAGTGAAAAATAAGATCAACCAAAATTTTTCAACCAGAGGGCTCATGTTTGCTGTGCTATACAGCAGAGTTTCTTAGGGGCAGGCTACCATGTGTCACCCTATAAGTCCGAAATAAAGGACTTTTAACAACTGGGAAAACATTTGCTTCAATGGGCAGTCTGGTGAATGTGAAACATAGGATCTACAATTCTCATTTTGACAGCAATGTGTCAGGTGGTTAGGGTGACATTATACTTAAATATAAACCAGCACTCTTGTGAGAGGGGAAAGGAGACACTGGATAATTGCAACCGGACAATAAGAAACCATGATTGTCCCTGGCAAACCAGCACAGATGGCCACCTATATGTGATCCAAGATAAGCCCTGTGTGCTGCTCAAGTTTCCAAACGTAAAATGAACATTATAATGCTGTTCGAGTTTCCCAACACAGAGCCCAGAAGATAATTTTAAGTGATAATTAAAGCAAAGGTGTGAGCCTCATCAGAACTGAATTACAAGCTCCTGCAACAACTTCACATCAGAAAACACAAACGCCACAATATGATACATTTTTGTAGTCATCCATCCAAACAGAATTTTCCTTTCTGTGTTAAGAGCAAGGTATGACCACTAATATCTCCATCATTCTCTCTAGAGGATAACCAATCTTCCCTCACTTGGAGTCCTTAAAATCCCAGTGGAAGTCAGGCGTGGTGGCTCAGCCTGTAATACCAGCACTTCGGGAGGCTGAGGTGAGAGGATTGCTTGAGCCCAGGGGTTCAAGACCAGCCTGGGCAACTTGGTGAGACCTTGTCTCTACAATAAATCACTAAAACTAGCCAGGTGTGGTGGTGTACATCTGTAGTTCAGCTACTTGGAAGCTTGAGGTGGAAGGATCGCCTGAGCCCGGCAAGTGGAGGCTGCAGTGGCCGTGAGGTGCCACTGCACTCCAACCTGGGTGACAAGGGTGAGACTCCAACTAAAAAAAAAAGAAAAGAAATCCCAGAGGCTCCACTTATATGGAATGTGGTCATACTTTAAGTATATCTGCCTTCTTTTTAAAATAATCCATTGATGTTCATTTTTATCAGTTTCTTTTATCCATTT